GGTGGTTTATACATTCATTATTCATCATCATGTTGCATCTTAAAACACTTGAGTCGCGCTTCAGCTCTCTAGCGGGAGTCCTGAAGTGTAGACTAAACATTTTGTCATGACAAATCATTGCAGGGCAGACTGGGGTGAATCTTGGGATGTTAAAACAGAAAAAAAAAGTTAAAGCGCTGCCTCTGAAAAATAGCTACAGATGAATGGGAAATATGAAGATTGACATTTGAAAACACAAAATGATGTGTCTTCCCCCCCAAATTGCAGCCTTTGCGATTTGGCAATTGCGTTCTAATAGATTGCGATATCGATTTGAATTTGATTAATAGTTCACAGCCCTCCTTTCAAATTCCCCAAACATTCATGTTTGGTTCCATGAACTACATGAAAGCATCTTGAATATATCAGGTGGAGTGTCTACCATCGTGTATGATTACAGGCTATAATTAATTTCTTTGTATTTAAAACTTGAGTCCCGCTGCCAGCAGACAGAAAACTATGGTGGAGGAAAAAAAAAATTGCATCATTTTTGCAGCATCCCTTGGGAGGTGTTTGACGCTGTTGAATGGCCCTATGTTTCCTCCGAACATAAAGAAACACTTTGTAGATAATTACCGCAGTTTGTAACTTTTCTTACATAAGGCCCAATTTGGGGCAGCTCGTCCTTACAGGGAGTTTGCTTGCTGTTTTTGTTTTCCATCTGCTGCGTATAGAACAAAAGACAACGCTCGTCTGTGATGCCGGATCCTCTGGGAGAGCTGGCGATGAATATTTGATGTAAAGCCTGCGTTTTATTGCCTACACACTTCTGAGCAGGAGTCCTCATTGATCTGGTGTTATAATCACAGGCTAAAAGAACCCCCCTCCCTCCACACCACCACCGCCACGCCAAACAATTCCCTGATTAAAGCTCTGTTTGTTCGCTCACTTCACGAGCAAGTCAGATCCAAACAGAGACATTGAGGAAAGCCCCCAAACGAGCAAAGGCTGTGAGTGGGGTTGGGGGAGTGGGGGGTCTTGGGGGTGAGTGGTGGAGCAAACCTGCCCGCTCCCACAGGCCGTTGTCAACACCATGTGTGTGGTTCTGTTGCAGCTCATTAGCGATCAAACTTGGCCTGAATGTAGCAAGATTCAACCCACAGAGATGAGAAGCTCTCTGCGTATTTTCTCTATTTATCCAGAATCGCTCCGACACTCTGGCTCAAGCTACCAAAAGGTTCAACACCCACTGGTGACGCATGTACGCTAAAAACCCAGGAGTGTTGCTGGAGAGAGACTACTTTCCTTCATGACGCTATTTTGTTATACTGTAAGTATAATGGAACCTCTAAGGCACAACAAAAGCCGAGATCCACCCCATAATCTTTATCTTTTACTCAAAAACGGTGCTGATGCAACACCGCCATCTACAGGGATCTGTTCGTCATGAAAAGGGGTTTTACAAACCTGAATTTTGTTGACGAGACCTGATATGACATAAGTCTCACTGTTCCATAGTCTAGCACCAAATATTTGTATGGAAAACGTTTCAGACCTTAAATATAGACCAATCGAAAGAAAACAGTTGATTGTGACAGTAACTTGGTGTGTCTTCTTTTTCTGGGTTGACGCCGTGTTCTTACGCCTTATTGAAGTCTATCACTAAACAGTAAAGTCAGAATTACAGTCTAGACATAGCCCTTTGTAGATCGCTGTTCTGAGGTCTCGCTGTGCTGATACCTCAACTTCAAAGTGCAAAGTTTTGGGTGACATAAGAGATGTTTTCATAGAAAAGTCCAACACTGAATGGTGTAACCTTGGCTGCGTTTGATTTGAGAGTTTCTATCTCATGCATTACTAAATTCTTGCACAGCACTGAACTACACATCTATAAGTATTTTCTTTTCATATTTCAGTCCGGCGTGTTTTTCTGCTTTCTCTGATATTTTTCATCGTGACCACCGCATGCCATTTCAATTCATTCCGCAGATAGTCGAGCACCCAAACTGGCAGCCGCTGTCATTTTAATGAGCTTTCGGCCTTCCGTCCTGCCTCCATTTGTGAGCCAGGTTTCATCTCAACAGCGACAAAGATGAGCCAGTCCTGAAGTTCATTCTCATTCTCTTGGAGCGTGCCAATTATAAATGTGTCTGCCGGCACGTCGGCTTCCTTCTCCCACCTCTCCAACCTTTATTATCCCTTAAAGTGAGCGAGATTGCTTCGCGCCCGCCTCGTCTGCTGCTGCGCTCACAACCAAACGCGTGAGATTACTTGTGTGTGCACGAGGACTGTTTGGACTAATAGCAACTGCACCGTGCGTGCTCATCACCTGGGGATGTTCTTCCATGGAAGTGAGCTCACACCTTTGAAATGAAACTTTTTTAGAGCCAACCCTTTCCTTTTTGGGGTGTGGAGGTGGGGGGGGGGCATTCTTGCCCCACCTGTAATTGGTGAATATCTGTATTTTAGAGACATAAGGAACCCGTTTCAAATTATTAAAACACACTTTTAAAAAATGATTCCTTCGCACCTGTCCTCACAGTTGAGTGCGTGAATTTAAAAAACATGATAAATTGGAACACCAAAATGTTCAACTAAACCATACCATCGTGAAAATAGCTTGAGGCTAACGCATAATGTGAAACGCCTTAGATGGGCGATCTAAAATAAGCATCAAACAACAACTGCTACTTTTAACATGCACAAAGCAGCAACGCATACAAAGTACAAACAGAGCATACACCACACCCACAGGAATACAGTCCCCATGGTGCGGGAAGTGGAGCTCAGTTGAAGGTTGGGGACCTTCTCCGCCTCTTCTGGTTGCTCTTCATTGCCTTGCATCTCTTGTCGTGGATCTTAAAGCTGCCTGGCAAATTGCAGCACAATGTAGTACGACACTCGCCTCTGAATTTAGATTTGCCTGTAAAAATACATACATGGCTAAAGAATCTGCAAATAGGAAACCGCAGTGTAATATAGCAGAGGAATATTCTTGACTTTGTCGGTTAGGGAATACTCGCAAGGTTTTGTCAGGATGACATTTGTTTGTCACCTATGGACGACGCCTCATTTATGTTTTCTCATATCAGATTAAATATGCTGTCTTCACGCATGTCCCACTGATAACCATCTCGGGCGTTATGATTATTATGGCAGCAAGGACAGAAAGCTAGAGAGAGTGAGTAATTAAATTAGCCCCGAATGGCTAATTGGATCAATTTGGAAGGCAGACACTGTCAAGGATAAGTGTAATCATGTATGCAGCGGCAATCTTTTTATTGCTCAGACTTGTCTTGTAAAAGACAAGGTGTGATAGGGAGGTTAATGTAATTACTGTCCAATTCTCTCACTCAGTGTGCACAATATTGCTAATTAATCTAAGATCTCTGGACTATAATGAAGCGTGACAAGCCAGGTAATTGTGATTATGCTATTTGGGGGGCGCGTTTGAATATTCCGCCGATTCCACGCACGCTGCAATTAAATCTCTTCTTCCTCCCACTCCTCTCGCTTCTAAGCATTCCGCGTAAGGAAACGTGGAATATTTTCCTCTCACCTGTGAGGCTTTTTGCTTTTCAGCCCAATAAAGGTGTCATTCACATTCCACGCAAGACAAGCTTGCCGAGGTGTAAAGCTGTGTAATGAGAGAGCGAACAGAGCATTCATATTCATTATGATCGGGCCTGCAGGAGGGGGTGTGCGACACAGCTGCCGTGCATGCTTTATGGGCGCAGTTAATAGCACGCTGACAGCGGGGGCCATCCACCAAATAAAAGCCACAGTAGTCGTCAGACCGCTATTGATTCTCCCCTGTGTCCTATTGATCGCTGACGTTTTCATGTGGCACAGAGCCGCTAATCTGCCGTGTATCACAGAGACGCCCACGGTGCAGCCCATTGACTCTGCTATCAATAGCCTCAAAGCTGGATATCATTAAATCCTCATCACTTTGTTTCCCCGCCGGCCGCACACCAGTGAGCACGACGCGACCTCTCAATAAGCAGCGCGCTCCGGCTTGTTTATGGCCCTGACATACACTGCTTCTTTTTAATAGGCCTGCTCGGCATTGCATCTGCTATTGACCGTCGCGGCCCCAGAGTGGCGTTGGACGCTCTTGTATCTCATCTCATGAGAGTGTACGTTGAGGTCAACGATGAGCTGAGTCAAGGCTTTACATCAGAAAAATCTCATGGCACTTGCAGCGAGTGAAATATGGCGGGAACCCCGGGCATTCACTTGAGGGGGGCATCAACAGCAACAATTTTGTTTACAATTTGCAAATGTAGTATATTATATAGGTGGAGAGTATGGTGACAGTGCACTTCGTTCAACTCACTTTCGAAGCAGCAACAATTCTTCAAGAGTATGGTGACAGTGCACTTCGTTCAACTCACTTTCACAACAAGCAGCAACAATTCTTCAAAGTAGAGACTTCAAAAGCTGTGTAATGCCACTCCCTATGACATTTACTGTCAACAACGCATAAAGAGAACTACACATTTTGTACTAAAAGCAAGCTCATACTGTAATTTTGCATTAAAGGCGTTAGCTTGTTAATAACACATAAGTAGAAAAGGCATAGGTGGAATAATGTGTCGCATTTACATGGCGGTGTTCTAATGCTCTAAGCAATGGATGTTTGAACAGCACATGTAGACACCGCAGTCAGCCTAAATAACCAATAGAGCAGCTTACTGGGTCACATAAAGTAGTTGAGTGAAACTCGTTTGTCTGTATTACGATTTGCCTCCAGTTGCGCACACCAGAAGTAATCTAGTAATACATATTTTTGTCAAGTACCATATTGTCAAGTGCTATTTCCCTCATGAAAAACAAATTATGGTGTTTTTATCGGTTACTTTGCGGAGGCTGGAACAGATTAATGGCATTTCCATTCATTTCAATGGGGAAAGATGATTTGTAACTATTATCTGGAAGCAAAATGATGTCAAACTGCACCGTGGTAAACAGTATAGTGCTGGTTTCTCACTTCGACAATGCAATCTCATTGTTTCCAGTTGGTCGTTACCAAGGTGACGGGGGCTCCTCGGAAGTGTTACACCGATGAGGAACATCTTTCAGCGATGACAGAATGCGCCAGTGGGGAGAGGCAGAGGGGTGGGGCACCCACAGGACAAGGACGGGAGGCCAGGGGATCGATGGTGTTTAAGGTGTTGGGGGGGGCGACAAGGACGGGTGCAGGAGAGCGCCCTCCACGGCCCATTAGAGACGACAGCCCCCCCGCTGAGAGCAGACAGCATGACAAACAGCCTCAGCTCTGATAATAGTGCTCTTGATCAATAGGCTGTCCCCTCGCCACCCCCCCGGGACAAGCATATCCACCACCAGTGACCTTGTGTCATTCTGTATGTGAGTGTATGGGGGGGGGAGAGAACTACACTATCAAGAGAACCACCATAGACTCAGATGGAACATCACGTCGCCCCTGTGACCTCTCAACCCAACTTTATCTATATGTCTATCTAGCCTCATGTTGAATGAAAGATGACAAAGTTCCATAATTACGTTGGATCTATCGCTCTAGCTACCTGTCCATCTATCGATAAATTTTTAAAATCCATTCCAGCCTCTTCAAAAAGGCCACTAAAAATTAAGAGACTCAGGAAACTGCAACAATATTAGTTGATTTTGGCAGAAGATAAAGAAAATATGCCTATGAGTATCGTTACATTATTTCTGTATGTGTGTCGATGCACTATTCGCGTTCAAATATCCATTGCTTAGATTGCAATCACACCGTAGCTATTGATGATATTCATTAGCCAGTCAACAGCATTTTGCATAGTGTGTTAGCATTACGCTAGTGGAATGCAAACTTGCGTGGTGGTTTTAAATAGAAAACATGAAAGTTTCTCTTTGATGTTTAGTTTGACAGTCAGCTTCAGGGGGAGTGTCATAAAACAGCTTAACCAAATTAGAGTCAATCAAATGCACGGTCGCATTCAGTCATCATGTTGGTGCAGTTACAATTCTAGCATTTTGTCCGACGCTGACGTCAAATATCTGACTACTTCCTTTCTTGAAGTGCTTAAATGATGTTTTTATAACACGTAAAGCACACAAAGTGTTTTCAAGAGCTCAATTTAAACATATGATGGTTAGCCACAATGCGGTCAGTTACTTGTCGTCGAGGGGGTTAACTGACAATCTTTTCGCTGAAAGGAATTGCCGAATCTGAGCCAAGTTTCTCAAGACATTAATTGAAAGCATGACATTAAAGTAGCTTTTCTGCCATGTTGGTGATGTTGAACACCAAACAATAATTTACAGTCTCTTTGTCGGGGCCGCGTAATTCATGTAAGAGAACGAGGAGGAAGAATGTTTTATCCACACGTGTCGTGCAAATAAAAGGGGAAGCGGTAGTAGTTAGCAGTGTTGCTTGAGTAGGCGGATGCGTGAAAACATGCACACACACACACACACACACACACACACACACACACACACACACACACACACACACACACACACACACACATACACATCGTGTATAGTTGTCAGTCAGCGAGCCAAGCGCACATGTCTGCTGTGAAGTCCTTTCTTCTCGACGTGTTATCTCACAGCAGCAGTTGCGGCTTGAACGGCGCGGAGACATCCTGACTCGCAAAGTGAGACTGCATCTCTCTGGAGCGAGCCCACAAGCCATAAACCGCAGGCGGCGGCTTCTGCAGGCCGCCTCGCTGCGACTTCAAACACTAACAAGCTGGAATAACATTTTGCTTGGGGTGGCTTCCCTTGACGATTCCCAGCTGCTGGCAAGCTGCTGGGGAGTAAAGACAAGATTTATTACAGGGCCTTGTTGCATTGGGATAAAACCTAACCGCATCGTATAGGACTTGTGGGATCAGAGAACACGCCATTACCGCTCCTTTCTCTTTAGATCAGCGCAAGATCCGGCCTGGAATCCATCAGTTGGAAAATCAATTTTCTTGTCTCAGCTCGCTTCTTCCTGCTGTCAGGGCTTCCTCTGGGTCGCGTGTGCAATTGTACTGACACTTTGGCTTGCTAGCGCCGGCGCTTTTAAACAAAGATTCCCTTTAAATGATGCACCGCAGTCAGCGTAAAAAGGGATTGGAAATGCCGCGCTCGGCTTTGTGAAGCACTTTCTTTTACACGCTTTCATAACAGGAAATGTGAGGCAATGATGAACCCGAAAACAGCCTCCCTCTGGGCCATGACTAAGTGAGGACATGCACTGTTTTTTTTTTGGTTTTTTTTTGTGAAAGACCAACCACCTGCGGATAAGGCGGAAATGCTCATATAATATATGTGTGTGTGTGTGTGTGTGTGTGTGTGTGTGTGTGTGTGTGTGTGTGTGTGTGTGTGTGTGTGTGTGTGTATATATATATATATGTTACTTTTGAGGCAAAGATGAGGACTAGTTGATATTGCTAGCACTACTAGTGCAGTGCTTGATTTTAGTAGTAGCAGTAGTAGTATTAAGTACTGTAGTATGATTTTATAACACTAAAGGAACTTGTGCACTTTTTTCTGTGCTGTAAGAAAAAAGTAAGAAAAAAAAAAAAGAGTGAACTCTAAATTTTCCCCAACATTTTAAGTTTGGCTCAGGTGAAAATTGGTTTTCACACATTTTTAACAAAGAAATAAGAGTCGACAGAACTAACTGTCCCTAGTATCGTCCCTCAACTGAGAGATCAACTCAGCAAATTGTCTTGGAGCAAACAACTTGCTTTGTACATTATTGCTCCAACTTAAATTACTGTTACAGCCCTTGAGGCAAAGATGAGGACTAGTTGATATTGCTAGCACTACTAGTGCAGTGCTTGATGTTAGTAGTAGCAGTAGTAGTATTAAGTACTGTAGTATGATTTTATAACACTAAAAGAACTTGTGCACTTTTTTCTGTGCTGTAAGAAAAAAAAAAAGAGTGAACTCTAAATTTTCCCCAACATTTTAAGTTTGGCTCAGGTGAAAATTGGTTTTCACACATTTTCAACAAATAAATAAGAGTCGACAGAACTAACTGTACCTTGTATCGTCCCTCAACTGAGAGATCATTTCAGCAAATTGTCTTGGAGCAAACAACTTGCTTGCTTTGTAGCGCTAACAAACATTATTGCTCCAACTTAAATTACTGTTGCAGCCTCCAAAAATGCAAGTTGTGTTTTTTTACAGCGTAGTGTGCACAAAAATGTCATACATTATTGGAAAAGACATTGATGGTCAGACAGTTGTACTCGTGAGCCCAAGTCACACTAATTACATTTGACTCGTAGCATATCGTATAAACACACTTTCCATAGTTTCACGTAAACACATCCACATCAAAGAGTTGTGATGCGAACGAAACAAGGAAGTGGAAGCTAGTGCAGTTTCGACCTTCCAAAAAAAAAAAAAAAAAGAGAGAAGTGAGAGGAAAGTATGAGATGATGTTCACTTGCACAAAAAGCTGCTGTCGAAAGGTCATGTGTGCCTGTGTGTGTGCCTGTGTGTGTGCCTGTGTGTGTGCCTGTGTGTGTGCCTGTGTGTGTGCCTGTGTGTGTGCCTGTGTGTGTGCCTGTGTGTGTGCCTGTGTGTGTGCCTGTGCGTGTGCCTGTGCGTGTGCGTGTGCGGTCAGGCCAGGCATCAGTTCTGCTTGGCAATGAAGCAAATGTATGACAGATGCATGCTTCTTTTCTGTTTCCTGCCATCACCTTGACTTCATTTTGTAATTGAACACAGCAGCGTAGCAGACGTGGCCGCACATGTCCGCTTACAACAACTGGATTGCATGAAAAGGTAATGAAGCGCTTTCCGCAGAACATGACAACAGCAGTAGATGCTCGCCGGCTACGTGATGTTTACGCCGGCCTCGCCTTCCAAATTGACACAAGGGGAAGCTGCGACCACCCACGGCGACTCCGGTATGAGGCGCAAAGTGAGCCTATTCGACCAGATAAATCTCTACTTTCATGAACCACATAAGAAGGGTCTACATCTGCACAACATTTCAGACTATGTTTGGACGCGGTGCAGCTTGCAATTCCGACCCCGGAGACCTGGGAGGAGGTGGAAATTAGGCATGTGGGTGTGCGTGTGATGGAAAGTCATGTGGAAACCGCAGCAGGATGAGTGATGGAGGCGGGTTCTCGTTCCCGAGAAGAACACCTGCGGCAGCCTTTTCCCACAACAGCTCTAATTGGAAAACTCTTCGTCATGTATTCTGGGAGTGAATCATCCGTGTGACAGACTCGGATTGTTACTTCCAATCCAAGGTCGTGAATTTGGCTGCCTGTGACAAATTACATAAACACAGAGGAACCCAAACACAGTCCAATCCAGGATCTTGCGCCAGCTCCGTCCATCCATCTTCTCTTGTCTTCTCCGGTGACTTTGGGTGAGAGGCGAGGCGTGGCTGTATTCTGGACTGCATTGATCCGACTGTATCTTTTATTGCCCCAGACTGGAAATGCGTCAGAAAATCAGAAAGCTGAGATGAAAGAAACAACTTAACTCACTATCTTTTATTGCCCCAGACTGGAAATGCGTCAGCAAATCAGACAACTGAGATGAAAGAAACTCTTCATTAACCCTTTCAGGGCCAGCCGTGACTACAGTGGATAGCTTATCATGTTATCAGGTTACAGGGTGCCTGAAAGGGTTGAAAGAGAAGTTGAGTGAACAATTTTCTTTACACTACTGTAATACATTCTTGGACAGGGGACAGCTTATCATGTTATCAGGTTACAGGCCTGAAAGGGTTGAAAGAGAAGTTGAGTCAACAATTTTCTTTACAATCATGTATTCTTTGCGCCACCACCTGTCCAAGACATTGTGATTAATATTGCATCTGTGGAACATGAATTAAGGAGCAAAATCCACCTGTTTTTATTCATCTCAGGGGGCGGCCATTTTGCCACTGACTGTTGTCTGAAAATGACATCACAGTGCCTGAGGGGCTCAACTTGCGAACGTTACATAACCGAACCCAGAAAAAAGGTGAGCATCTTAACGGTTGAGAGCTTTACAAAATGAATTTTAAAAAAGAAATCAAAACGTAATTCGGAAATTACTTTGGACAGCAATAGAAATAGATAATGCTACTGTTACATTTTCAAGAGGTTGACTTATAACTGTAACCGTTTA